TTTGGTGTTCGTGCTCTCCTGTTCGATCCTCAAAGAAAGAGGATTTTATACTGCTGTTATTTTGTTCCGATTGGTTGTTCTGAAAAGTTATGTTAACTGTTTCTTTGCTGCTGGAGGTTTTTATTAAAGAAGATAAAGCAGATATTCGCCTCCTGTCTTTAATAAAATTTAAATTATTCCCTTACCAAGGCTAGAATAATCCCCAATTATGCAACTTTATTCCCAAACTCGTTGTAAAATTACATTACACAATATAATGAAAAATTGATCAGCAATTATGCATGCATTAGATATGAAAACAATTATAGGAAAGCCATAATTTGTTTATAATATAGTTATTTCAGTTCGGTAAGATAATGAATGGATTATTGGTTAAAGGGACACTCTGCAGTGGAGAAGACCCCCATTTTTTACACAATTAAATAGATAATAACTAACTCATGAATCATGACACAAGGAAGTAGCGACAGTTGTTCAGGTGGTGTGTTAAAGGGACACTTCACTGCCCAAATAAAACAAAATCCCTGTTTAGCTTAAATACCCCAATGAAAAACAACCACACATTTAGTTATCCATTTCTTTTTACTGTAGGTATATCTATAAATAGCATGCAAAATCTGTAGATCCCGTGTCTGAAGCCTTCTAATCCCACTCAGACTTTTTGTGGCCATCCAATTACAGACTTCCCAATGCAGCTCAAAGAAAAATGCAAGACAGGTGCTCTTGTCAATTGCTGCCTCTTGAGGTCAGTGCAAGTAACCAAATCAGGAAGTAACAGGACTGGTTATCTGAATGACAACCAGGGGGTGTAACAAGGTTTATTTATAAAAGTGTCAGTTTCTATTAAACTCTGCCATTTTTGTAAAATTAAAAAGGACACACTCTTTACACATAAAGCACATCCTCAAGCTGAAGTGCTGGAGTCCTGGAGTGTCCATTTAATTAAAACACCCTTTTTCTCTTTAAATCTTTGGTTCATGTCCTTTGTGAAGGACAAAAAAGTTAAATTTTTTAAGGTATTACTGGTACCTGAAAATGTTGTTTCCCCCAACCTCCCCCCCCCCCC